CATTTTGAGACTATTAAAGTATGGTTCTTACAATGTAATTAATCTATATTGTGTATTATTACAAACAAATTTAGTGGGAGACGCCATAGGAGGCATTCCCTCTCTAAGTTCTAATTTTTTAGAATTTTGAATTATAAAACTACAAAACAAAAGTTTCATCCAAACACACTCTTCCACGTGTCACTTATAGCTACCCATATCCTCCCACTAACTATCCGCTAATTTTTAGTTGTATCTAAAATTTATTTTTACTACAATAATTTAATTTTTTATTTAAATTTTTTAAGTGATTGAAGTAAAAGAGGGGAGAAAATGAAAAAGATAAATAAAAAAAGATAACAGGTTGTAATTTGTAAATCCCGTGCATCTCAATTTGTCAATAAGATGATAACATATTGAGGAGTGGTGACAATCTTGTACAGAGATTACTAACCATAGAAGAGTAATGTTAGACTAGAAAAAAAAATTATGGAAGAAGATGTCACTAATTTGTACATGAATGCATGAGTTATATCACGTACTCAAAAAATTATAAATCACTTTAGACCTTCATTTCAAGAGGGATGATTAACTCTACAAATATCAATCAAAACTTGAGCCCTTGGATAGATATACAATCTCAAAAATTACAAGATAGTGATCTATTTCCATAATGCCTCTACTATAAAGTGGAACATATAATAAAAGTTTTCATGAGTTACAAGGCTCATTAGCATACTGAATCAGGGAAGAAAACAAAGATTAATGTTAGATTGGTCATAAAGAAGACCAAAATAAGTACTAAATGATGTGATATAGTCATGGTGAGTAAATTAGAATTTTAAACAAATTAAAGTGGAACCAAAACTGCCAACATATCGACGACACGTCATTTATCTGTCTTTTTGTATTTATTTTTTGTCAATCTATTCGGAGAACAAAAAGAGGTGGCAAGTACTATGCAAGGGACATATACCCTTTCTGGATGTTAGAATTTATAAAACTCATGTGTCGTGGCTGGATAATAGATGGCAAAACAATTCGTTAAATTCTGTCCAAATCCTTTGAAATACAAAGATTTGAGTTCAATACCACTACTTCTCTCTAAAGCTCTCTATTCCTTGCTTTTTTCAATTCTTCTGCTCTTCAATTCAATACACTGTAGAGTAAATATGAACATTATGGCGGCCATCAAGCGAGTCATAGACTATGCGATGAAAATCAAAGTTAAACCCGACAAAGTAAATTCTATTCTCCCTTTTCAAAAACCCATTTCCTTAAATCTTCAATCCGCACGCACTAAATCAAAACATTGACACCAATTGAATGCAAATCATGATCTACATTACGATTTGATCATATCTAATTTAGTTTCCTCCAATATTTCATGAATGTTAGTAGAGAATATTACCATTCAATGCTTATTGAATTCCCAAACAAAAAGAATAAGAAATCATTCATCGCAGATGTACTTTGTCTATCACACTTCATCTCAAAAACAAGCAACCACTACCTACAATTTGTTGCACATATCCATGGCATTACCATGACCTTTTTACATGAATGAAGTGTGACTACTCAAAGCTTGCAAATCGTACTCTTACCAATTGATAAAATCTATCTTTCAACAAACATTCTTAGCTTTTTTTACATAATGAATAAGATTTGCATCTCTTCCCATTTATTTTCTTTCATTTTATTCGATTATAGATGAGCTAGCATAATTCTAAGTGGAGTCTACTTTATTCACGTGCTAGTGATCTCGTACTAAGAGATATTGAGAAAAAATAATTTGAATATGATCCAACTCCTAATAAACATCCCCAATTAACTAATGTTTTGTATGCATTATGAATTGTTAGGTTTGGTAATTCTAGACACAAATCACAACTCTGATACGACAACAACATTAAGATAGTGGATTTATGTTTAGCCATCATGTGGTAAGCATATGAACCCACCTACTAAACCTATCAAATAACTATCGACAAAATCCAGCTACATGTAATACAAATCTGACTAAACACAACCTTATACACAATACCAATTTCATTTATATTTGATTATAAATGAGTCAGATGTAAATTAAATAAATTTTGAAATGTCAAAACTTACGCTATTTAAAATACAACATGATACAACCCATTATCAAGCATATAAATTGTAAATGTTTCAATACATGAGAATTTCCTTTAAGAAAACTATTAACAATAAAAACTCTTGCATTTTCCTCTTCATTTTCATTGTGTGTGTGTCTAACGAATATGTCACCAATGATTATTGGATAACATTTAAAAGGGAAAAATTGATTTAATGCTACAATTAAACCAGATAGGGAAAAGAAAAGTTTCTTGGTATAAGAATAGAATGAAGGTGAGAATGAAATGACCATATGAATAGAATATAATGCACATTATTATTTCAATGTTTGATAACAATTATGATTAAATGTTAGAATAGAATTGAAAATTCACTCAAATATTTAGATAAATAAACAATTTTAATAAAAAAAATTTGATCGAAATACTCTTGATAAAATAATATAACTATTTTTGATGCCCCAACTTCTTAATCTCCAGACTCGATCCTAGACCAGAACCCTAGGTCCATCTCGAGTAGGGACCTGACCTCGAATTTGGACCCGACGCGACACTTTACCAAAACCCTACGCAGAGCCAAAATCGACCTCAACATAAGACTAGACCTTGGTCCTAGACTCAGACCGAAAACCTAGTCTCAGACTTGAGTCAGGCCCCTAACTCAAACTCGATCCTTGACCCAACCTCAAACCTCAACCCGACCCTAGACTTCATACCCAAACTCAACCACAAACTTCGGACCCAAGCCTAGACTGGACCCCAAACCCTAGACTCAAACCTGACCCTAAACCTCAACCGCAAACCCTGACCCTAGACACAAAGTTGACCACGTCCCTAGATCCGAACCTAAGTGGTTGTGGTGGCCATAGTGGTTTGTTAGTGATGGTGGCAACGAGTGATGGTAGTTGAGAATGAAATACCACAAAATATTAAGAAATGATACATCTTATATTAGTGAGATTAAACATTCTATAATAATGAGAATGAGAATGTATTTTCATTATTAAATACAAACAATAGAATGAGTGTTACTAATTAATGATCATTCAATTCTCATGTTTCATAACCACCTACGAAATGCTACGTATATCAAAATAGGATTTGGATATCCTAAGATACATATTTCCAAATTTCTTTCAATGGGATATTATCTACTACAAAATTTAATGATTCTCATTATATATAAATAGGTCCTATTAATGCAAATGAGTGATCTATTGTTGAAAGAAAAGAAGAATAAATTAAATTTGAGATTATCTAAATCCATGAAGGTGATCCAAAAAATATCAAAAAGTTGGGCTTCATAAAGATTCAATGGATTTTGAATAAATAAAAGTTATGTCTCTTTTTTGCGCTTTTATTTTAATTCATTCGTGTATGTGTTTTTTCAGATACATTGTTTTTTTTTTATTTTTAATTCATTGTCCATGTAAATTTATTATATAATGCTAAATATATTAACAAAAATTTGGATAAAAAGTGTAGCATTAGTGCGATATTAATTTAAGTCTTAATATCATGGTTTTATTCAAATTTTGGTTATAATATATAGGAGTTTTGATGAATCTATTTTGATTATTATAGCAAACAAATTATGTGTGGGATACTTGAGATGTCTTTTTATGTGTTTGAATTTTTTTAATTTTAAATTATTAAATTAAAAATAAATTTTTTTCCAATGATATTATACCCACCTCCTCCTTATTAACTATCCATTATTTGTTTAATTATATGTTTTATTATTTAATATTTTTTTAGGATTAATTATAAATTTCACCCCGAAAGATCGTTCGTATCTCAATTTATACCTCCAGATAAAAAAATCTCAATTTATACCCTTAAAGATAGAAAATTATATCAATGTGCACCCCCAAAGATCAAAAATCTCAATTTATACTCTAAAATATAGAAATTTGTATAAATATGCACCTCTAAAGATCAAAAATCTCAATTTGCACCTCAAAGATAAAAATTTATATCGATATGCACCTAAAACTAACCGTCGTCAANGTGCACCCCCAAAGATCAAAAATCTCAATTTATACTCTAAAATATAGAAATTTGTATAAATATGCACATCTAAAGATCAAAAATCTCAATTTGCACCTCAAAGATAAAAATTTATATCGATATGCACCTAAAACTAACCGTCGTCAGTTTGCTGCATAAAATTAAATTGATAAATTATACCTAGATCCCCTCATATTTGTCACTTAATCATTTGAACCTCTTCACATTTAGAATATTACTCTTACATCTCATGACGTTTGTGCACGTGTAACACGTAACCCTTTTTAATTGATATTTGTTAATATAACCATTAAAAAATATGATTTTATCATAATAAAAAATTATAATTTTATATTACCATTTATTTTGTGGGTCCGATATAATTTAATGTTCAAAATTAAGTTTATCATTTGAATGTTTAATAGAATGTAAGTATTTATATAATATTTTTTATATTCAATGCAATATATCAGTTAAACATAATTATAATATCATATTACCTTTTATTTTGTGAAGGGGTCCAAATAATTAAGTAATAAACATGAGGGAATTTAGGTATAATTTATCAATTTAGTTTCAGACAACAAATTGACAACAATTAATTTTAGGTGTACTTTGATATAAATTTTTATCTTTAAGGGTACAAATTGAGATTTTTTATCTTTGACGGGGTACATTAATATAAATTTTTATTTTTAAGGGTATAAATTGATATTTTTATTTTTTGGGAGTGTACATTGATGTACATTTTTATCGTATAAATAAAATTTTTAAATTTTATTAGATAAAAATTAAAATTTCAACGATCTTTTCGGAATATAATTTAGGATTAACCCTTTTTTATTTTATCTGAAACAAAACAAATTGAAAAAAAAGATAATGTAATTCGTAGGTGATAAACAATTGATTGAATTCTGCCTAAATTGCTTGAAATGCCGTTTCCTTCGCCACGGCCTCTATGGAATCTCACTAATCTCCCGACCAAAAACAATCTCACTAGTCTCCGCTTCCTTCAATTTTTCTGTTCTTCAAACCACTATACTATAGAACAAACATGAAAATCATGGTGGCCATCAAGCGAGTCATAGATTATGCCGTGAAAATCAGAGTTAAACCCGATAAGGTAAATCCCATTCTCTTTATCTCCAAAACCCACTTTCTCAAATCTTGAGTCACCCACTTAATCACACGTTTTCGATTCACTCAGACTGGTGTTGAGACCAATAATGTGAAGATGTCAATGAACCCATTTTGTGAAATAGCTTTGGAAGAGGCGCTGAGAATCAAAGAGTCGGGACTGGCTTCGGAGGTGGTGGCTGTGAGTATGGGCCCGGCTCAGTGTGTTGACACCCTCCGTACTGGTCTGGCCATGGGTGCGGACCGGGGGATTCATGTGGAGGCACAAGGTACACTTTATCCACTTTCGGTAGCAAAGATTCTTAAAGCTCTTGTTGAGATTGAAAAGCCTGAGCTTCTTGTACTCGGCAAACAGGTTTGTCAAATTTCCATCTAGAAACGTGGCTCTAGATTTGTATGGGTGTATGTGTGATTGTGTGTGCAGTATTGGTTTTTGGGTGGATTGAGATGATGATCTGGAATAGATGTTTGAAAAATTGAATTGGGTTTTTGTGCTTTTCAATTTTGGGTTGCTTCTTTTTCGTGGGAGTGGAGTTTTTGTGATGTTTCTGGGCAAGCAAGAGAATTTCGATATTGAATTCAGAAACTGGAAATTGTGTTTTCCTTTGAGTTTTAGGCTTTTACTTTTCAGATGTGGTTAAGAGTGTGNGTGATGTTTCTGGGCAAGCAAGAGAATTTCGATATTGAATTCAGAAACTGGAAATTGGGTTTTCCTTTGAGTTTTAGATGTTAATTTTCTCTTTTACTTTTCAGATGTGTTTAAGAGTGTAATGTTTCATTTTAGACCAAATAGGTTGATAGTATTGCTATTAAATTTCTCCTTGATTCAGAAATTCATGTGTTTGAATATTGTTTCTGATATCCAGATAATTGTGTAGGCAATTGATGATGATTGCAATCAAACGGGCCAAATGATTGCAGGCCTTCTCAACTGGCCACAAGGGACCTTTGCTTCCAAGGTTAGCTCTATTGCACAAACCTTATGGATAACAAGAAATCAATCTATTTCTTAACTTTATAGAACATAATCTTCTTTCAAACCAGGGATACAGAATAGTATCAAAGTTCTTTAGCTTGTTTTTATTCAGTTGTATGGATTTGACGTTCCTAAATGATATTGGTTTGAGTTTTGCGATCAACGTTTAGGCTGCTTTACCGCGTTCTATCTTGTAACAAGCCTTGTCATCACGTCCCATTTGTCAAAATTTTTGTATACTGCATGACATGATATTTTCTGATTTATTNGTTTTGCGATCAACGTTTAGGCTGCTTTACCGCGTTCTATCTTGTAACAAGCCTTGTTATCACGTCCCATTTGTCAAAATTTTTGTATACTGCATGACATGATATTTTCTGATTTATAGTCTTTCATCATTCCATTACCAACTTTACATAGCGATGGTCTGTCCAATCACATTTTGAAGACCCATTTAGTTTTTTGTGTCCTTTACTTTTTCTTTTAGCAGAGTAATTAGTGCTTATAATTCATTTAGCATATGTAGTGCAATTGGGCTCTGCCCTCTACAAGCCTTGCAGTTTTGGGAAATTGACTCTCAGCCCTAATTTGCCAACTTGGTGAAAAAACATCCTACCCTACATTGGCTATACTCTTTTTTCTTTTTTTCCTTTAGTATAGTAAACCATGTGATGTGGAATCTTTGGAGGTTCATCACTATATTAGAAAGACAACAATAAAAACGGACTTTGGGGCCCAATAAGTGTGGGTTTTATCATTTACGGTGTCAGGTTAGCGTGCAAAATGGGTTTAGGTGGTTGTAAGGGCAGATAGAATGGGCATGGGTTTGATGCTGATTGAGGTGTGAAAGGTAGAATGTTTACGATTTCTCAGGAATAGCTCCCAAGAACAATAATTATGGCTGCTTGGTTCATACGAATTACAAACCCTTGAACAGCTGATTTGGGAGTCTACATGGGTCAATACCATTTCACTACAAGGTAGACAGTCTTTGCTTGCCACAATCTTGACATAGCTCCAAACACTCCCATGCCTATGCCTTTCATGGTTGGGCCAAACCAGTCGGACGACTTCCACCTTCCTGAATTGGAAGAACAAGAAGAAGTCTCTCCAAAGCCCCCCCCCAAAAAAAAAAAAAACGAAAAGGGGGGAGAAGTGGAGCCGCGGAAAGGTACTCATTGAATGACGGCTTAAGCTCAACATAATGAAAACCTTATATTCCTTGAGGGGTTTCTAAACACTCTTTAATGGTATTTTAGCTTTACCTAGTTGTGTCCAAAAGACCACTGATTTCACTTAGTGGGCGAAGAATGCCTGATTTATCAATACGGCCGATAGACTATTAGGGGCTCATGTACCACATGACAAGCTAATCGTATATTGGATAAATCCTTGCAGGGAAGTTATAGAAATCTTTGTGATACTTTGAATCTGAAATACTTTGTGTAGTTTCCTGCGTAGTATTATGCTTTCATAGTATTGTTCACAGTCACACACTTTTGCTACTGGAGGCTTATGGAAAGAAATAAAATGACAACAATTTTAGTTATGCACATCACCCAAGCTTACAAAAGGAGACCGTGTAAATGGTGTGTTTTCGTGGATATTCTGTTACTATAGGCCATGGATTGGATGAAAGTGCACATAATTTTTTTTTTGTATCTCTCCACTATCCTGTTTGAAATTTTTGGCTGCTGGTGTTGGCAGAACAATTGGTTGCNAAATGGTGTGTTTTCGTGGATATTCTGTTACTATAGGCCATGGATTGGATGAAAGTGCACATAATTTTTTTTTTTGTATCTCTCCACTATCCTGTTTGAAATTTTTGGCTGCTGGTGTTGGCAGAACAATTGGTTGAATTAACTCAAGTAATTATCTTTTGGAGATTCTTCAAATTCTGTTCTTGTGATTGCTGTTTTTCTTTCCCAAAGTTCTAGCTCCATAAAATTTGTCCTAAAGGATGCCCTTCCAGTATGTGCTGGTGGTGCAACCCTTAATATCCGCCTTTTTTTAAGAGAAAAAGGGGGAGGGGGGGGTATTTCCACAAAATAAAGCAAAAAAGATCAGTTTCTGGATCAAATTTTCCTATACCTTACTTGCTTATTCTTATTACTCATTAGGTTGTGCTGGACAAAGAGAAACAAGTAGCAACAGTGGACAGAGAGGTGGATGGTGGCCTTGAGACTTTGTGTTTAGACCTGCCAGCAGTAATCACGTACATTCTGATCCTCTTATTTTGTTGTTCTGTCTTATCAAAACTTATGTGTTCTTGAACTGTAGTGATCTTCGTAAGTGATAATGTGGGTACTTCTGGGAGTATGCTTATCTGTCATTGAGATCAGTGCTCTCTCACACTCACACACACGCACACACAGACAAACTATCTACCACTGCTTTGCGTATTTGTTTACAAGTGCCTCGAGCATGGCTAGTTTTGATATCTTCATTCAATTTCGTAAGCTGGTTGGGAAAACCAATTTTGGTTGATCAACCCTAATTTCTAGTCTACTAAACTCTTTTGTCACATCTTTACTTGATTTGTTATTCATTTGAAACAGGTTTAAGGACCAACTTCAGCAAACTAGTAGCAGCTAAAATTTTTTTATTTTAATTTGAGTTTTCCTAATTTTAAGTCCTGAAAAAACTGGTTTTTACGTTTTATTGAGTATTTAGAGGTACCATGAAAATGGTGTTTTCGTATGTTGTTTTAAATAGTACTTAGCATAATTTAGCAATGCCTTGAGGATAATGTCAGTGAACCTGGTTACTTCACTTAATGTTGACTTATCACTTATGTTCTATTTTGTTATGCATACAGCACTGACTTGAGGCTGAACCAGCCGAGGTATGCAACACTTCCCAACATAATGAAAGCCAAATCTAAGGTCATAAAGAAATTTAAGCCAGAGGAGTTGAATGTGGAAATCAAGCCGGACTTGGAGGTTATTCAAGTGAATGAACCACCGAAGAGAAAGGCAGGGGTTATTGTTTCTTCTGTTGATGAGCTGATCGACAAGCTTAAAAATGAAGCTCATGTCATTTGAATATGGTTGAGACGGTTTCTGCTCAATTCAATCTGCTGATGAATTTCACATAATCAAATGTTCATGGCTCCGTGTAACATCAAAATTCTACATCACATTAAGTGTAAAACCGTTCAGGATCCATTCAATAAAGGTTTTCTGTTAGCCTGTTATTCTTTTATTTGCTGCTGATTTACCACGAATATGGATCGATTTTGATTAGTTTGAAATGTTTATGTATATGAAATTCTAAAGTAATGGGATAAGTAGGAGACCATTTCTGCTAGCTACAGACATGCTGGTGCAGATTGCTAAGCAACCAATTGTATCCATTTAAATGGCTGCAATAAAATGCATGACCTATGAGCCGGAGAAACCAGGAAGGCCAGCTTGGCCACTTGTTTTCTGCTGTAAGTCGCCCCTGAACAGATAGGCAGGCTGGCAGCTAGCTATAACCTGCAACAATGCCGGTGATTTTCTAATGCAGATGACTTGGGTTCAGTCCGAGCAAATTATTCAGAGGAAAATTAGACTGGCCTTCTTCGACATGCCAATTTTATCACAGTAGTTAATGTTACAGAGAAACGGGTGTACATTTTACCAGCTACTTTTGCGACTGGAATGGAGCTTCTCCTCTTTCTCCATCAAGGTACGTATGCGACTTAGATTCCATCCGGTGTACTTTGCCTCGAATTTTTTAAATTGTATATCATTGGTTGTGTATTGGTGATGGACCCATTTATATATAATGGGTTACATTCAATTGAGTGATTTACTATTGAGAAAAAATGACGCAAGTTATTCCGCTCGGAGGAGGAAAACATTGGTTCTGGTTGTGCCACCTGACCGGGGACTGAGTCAGAACAATTACCACCTGTTTTGAATGCAAGAACTTGTAGACTCCACCACTTTGGTGGGTAAGGTAGGTACCCCTCCAAAGCCCAATGGATGCCGACAACTTAGACCAAGGGTCTTGTTCTCAATAGACTTTAAATGAGTTAAACTTTTAACTTCGTTACTGAAATTACTTATGATTCTATAAGTATATTTGACCTTCCAAACATAATTAAAAGTCCTTCAATTCTAAATTCATTCTTTAATCAACTCCTAATTTATTTTAGACTCACTCGGTCATATTGACACGATTTATCGGTGAAAAATATACTTTAAATTCAAATTATAAATATAATCTAAAAATCAAATCAATTATAATTAATTTTTTTTCCATTTAATATTAAAAATTAATAAACTAATCAAAAGAATGTGTTACTTATTATATTCCCAAATTATCTTTACACTTTATCTTATTTTGTGTTAACCCGGGATGTGCGATTCACCCAAAATATTCATCGTAGTGGTATTATTAACTAATAATATATAAAAAAATAGAAAAATAAATTCTACACAAGTCAATAATTACATGTTCATTTAAGTTAATAATTATCAACTCTTTTTTACCGTAAATTAATAACTACACGAGGGAGATTCATTTTGTCCATTTGAACGACAATACCGTCTTATCAATAATAATATAATATCACCGTTGTATTGAATATTTTTTTTCATAAATATTCATTGCAACGGTAATATTATGTCAAAAAATTTAAATAAAAAAAAATAAGTCTCCTTTAATTTCGTATAAGTTTGAATTAAAGGTTGTAATAATTTTTTGGGTTAATTGCAAGTTGTACCCCGAAAGATAGTTTAAATTTTAATTTATACTCCCAAAGATCAAAAATTTTAATTTGCACCCTCAAAGATATAAATTTGTATTAATGTACACCCCTAAAGATAAAAAATATCAATTTACACCCTTAAAAATAGAAATTTATATCAATGTATACCCCCAAAGATAAAAAATCTTAATTTACACCCTCAAAGATAGAAATTTGTATCAATGTATATCTAAAATTAAATTGATAAATTATACCTATATCCCCTCGTGCTTGTCACTTAATCATTTGGACTTCCTTCACATTTAGAATATTACTCTCATATCTCATGGCATTTGTGCACGTGTAACACGTAACCCTTTTTTGTTGATGTATGTTAATATAGCTGTTAAAAAATATGAATTTATCCTAATAAAAAATTTTAATTTCATATATCCTTTATTTTGTGGGTCCGATATACTTTAAAGTGCAAAATCAAGCTTACTATTTGAATGTTTAATAGAATGTATATATTTATATAATATTTTTTATATCCAATGCAATATATCACTCAATATGCAACCCTCTATTTTATTAGAGATTCAAATGGTAAGCTTGATTTTGAATTTTAGAATATATTTGACCCATAAAATAAAGGGTAATGTGAAATTATAATTTTTTATTAGAATAAAATCATATTTTTTAACGGTTATATTAACAAATATCAACGAAAAGGGGTTACGTTTTACACATGAACAAATGTCATGATGTAGGAGTAATATTCTAAATGTAAAGAGATTTAAATGATTAAGTGACAAACATAAGAGATCTAGGTATAATTTATCAATTTTGTTTTAGGTGCACATTGATACAAATTTCTATTTTTTAGAGAACAAATTGAGATTTTTTTATCTTTGGGCTTCACATTTATACAAATTTTGAGAGTGCAAATTGAGAATTTTGATCTTTAGGGATACACATTGATATAAATTAATATTTTTGAGGGTATAAATTGAGATTTTTAATTTTTGAGAGTATAAATTAAAATTCGAATAATCTTTCAAGGTGCAATTTACCATTAACCATAATTTTTGTAGGGTTATTTTACTTAAATTTAAATTTAAATTTAAATCTAAAGGGGAGTCAGATCGATACTCTAATATTACTGTTGTTGCATTGAATATTTTTTTCAGCGGAAGACCAATAATTACTACTCTCCACGTGTCATATCATAATTGGACTATATTCTTCCTCCATATCATTATTCGTGTACGGTGCTAAGCCCTCCTTTTCCACGAGGCCCCACTTTACTTTTTTCTCTTTCCAAAAACGAAGACGATCGATCGAATGAAAAACCTGAGAATCGTGTTCATGATTTAATATTACGATCTTGTAAAATTTCTCTATGGATTCGTTTGAAGGTAATAATAGCTGGGACTTAATCGATTACAGCAGCTTTATCGACGACGTTGCATCCACGGATCTCTACTGGACCAACCAAAGGTAGGTCACATTCTTCATCACTCCCTGATAAATACATTTTGTATATATATATATATGTGTGTGTGTGTGTGTGTCTGTGTGTTGTAATTATGTTTTACGGTCCCACATCGGGTTGAATATGAGATTGGACGTGTGTTCTATTCGTGGGTTTGTACCAATAGGTCTCTTTTTTGGTCGAGCCATGGAAGGGGCGACTTATAGGCTGAGTTTATTCGCATATACGTATCAAGGTGCTCCTGAAATTGGCTACAATTTAGGGAAAACAAATTTCAATTGCGAATATGAATCGTTTACTGGAAATAATTAGAGGATGATGTTAAGTAATTCGAATTCCTATTTTAAAACAAATTTGAAGATCAGTGGAGCGTTGCTATAGTTTTTTCTGGGGGTTTTTAGTGGTGTGGGGGGGATTTTTCAGCAGATTTTATGGGAGGAAAAACAAGTTGATCTTCGTAATGTGTTTGGCTGCATGAAGAAGATGTTGGAATTGGGAATTTTTAAGGCAGGGTGGGACAATATTTTGAAGTGAATTTGTTTGTCTGTTTCGTTTTCAAGACCCAAGCTCCGTGATTTCCGAATGCAAGCTTAAGTCAGAGGATTATTACCCCAGTTTGGTTCCTGTTAATGGAGGCGACAGTTGGGAGGTTGGACTGGTTAATTAGATTGTGAAGTTAGATAAAATTTTAGAACGTGTGAAGGGCAACTCTCAGTTGTGAAAATAGAAGATAACAGTTGTATTGTACCACCACATGTCAATCTATAAGAAACCTGGTTTTCAGGAGCAGAGCCCAGATATTGTGTTGCTTAAGGCTATTTTCTTTTTTGAATTTCAAACAAGGCCTTTTGTCAACTATTAAGTTGGAATTCTCATGGTAATGTCATTGTTAATTCGCTTAGATGTCGCGATGTGATTGATTATTTTATTGCAGTGCTAATGTGGAACTTGATGCGTCGCTAACTCGTGGTACATCACAAGAAAATGAATGTGCAGAGAAAGAATACCCTCGGAAGAGGTACTATTTTATATGGGGGATGCTCCTTACTACTTGTTCTACTGCTAATGATCCTTAACGTGACTTTTGTGAAGCTCAATGCCCTTATACATAGGCTTCCTCGACAATGTTTCTGAATACCATTCCCTCTAGTGTAATCCTAGATTAAGACATAATATTCAACCCTTATATTCATTTATAAACATTGTCTTCTTGTGAATGTGCTGTGTTTTCTTGATGTCCTTGAATTTGCTGTCAAAATCAATTTTCTGAGTCCCCTTGGTTTCTTGTTTCACATTTTTTTGGATGAGTTTCTTCTTTCAAATTCATTTGTCTAGGTTAACCTTTTTTGTCTTTCCCAGAAATTATCATTATTCTAGTGGCCTAGCTGCAAGTCCTTTTTTAGCATTGAGATATGACAAAGCTATTCTTTCAAGAGATAGAGAACTAAACCTTTCACTATTTGGCTTCACTCCAATTAGCTTTCATTTCTAGCAAAGGTATTGGTGTTGAAAATAGTCACTTTAACAAGTTCTATATTTTTTACCATAGAAAATAGCAAAACCATTTGTGCAAGAAGAATTCAGCTTCATTCTTAACTTTCATGACTAATAATTAGATTGTTTGAAAATTGATCTATGATAAGGTGGATCAAATTTTGCAGTTGTAGAGAAGCTGCTTTTATGGTCTTGCTATTCTACTATATATCTTCCTATTACCAAAATATGTTTATCATTGATTTGTAATTGGTTGACATAACATTTTGCTATGAAGATGGTCCATTAGTTGTGTACATGGGCTGCAATTGGTTATAAAAACGAGTTCAGCAGTCACCCACTGTTTCTTTTTTTTTGGTTTTAGTCTTGCTCTCTTCTTTCTAATTTTTGGGTGGATAATTTGGAAATTTTATTTAGCTACTGGTAGACATGGTCATTCTGTAGAATCAGCATGCATGAGGATCTCTGTCACCTTTTAGTGGATTTTATGCTACCTTTTAAAATATAAAGATATGCTTTGTCAAGTGGTTTGTTGTGTATTTCCTTTATTTTCTACTTGTGCTTGCAGGGTTGATGTAATGATGTACATTTAGTCCTAATATATGATTACTTTTTATTGGTGATACTTAACAGGGGCCGTTCTGATCACTGCAGCAGACAAGGGACCAAAGCTTGCCGTGAGAGACAACGAAGGGAAAGATTAAATGACAGGCAGGCACCTTGTTCAATTTCTAGTCATTTTTAAATTGTTTTGGAACTGTTATTTTGCTAGTCAACACATGGACAACTGCATTTTATAAGCCAAGCATTGGTTGCCTTTTGCATGTGAGAAATTACTTGTCTATGTTGTTAAAAAAACAAGTGGGTTCACTTTTACTTTAGAGTAAATTGGAGAATCTGTGCTCAAGGGTTTAGAATTCTTGCACACCAAGATCCCTATATTCTAATTGTGACACGAGTTATTTAAGGAAAATTTTTTATAAGATGATTGCAGTGTCCTGAATGTGAAAAGAGCTAAGAAGATCATTTAACTAGCACTTGTATTTTGTATTTTTCATGGAGAAATTATGTTCATCCCTCATGCAGGTTCACAGAGTTGTGCTCTGTTTTGGAACCTGGGAGGCCTGCTAAAACTGACAAATTGGCCATACTTGGTGATGCCATCCGAGTTTTGAACCAGCTAAGGACTGAATCTCAGGAGTACAAAGAGAAGAATGAAAAGCTATTAGAAGAGATAAAAACTTTAAAAGTCAGTCATGTTTCTTCGTCATTTTAATGAGCAGCTCTTGTAACTTATTTCTCCTGTCATATGATGTGATATCCCCCGAGAACTTATCTTCTTCTCTGGTGTTATCATACTTTATTTTCTTCACTGAGTTCTGTAGTTTAGCTGTATTTTTCCCCATATGAAAAATTGGGTGAGCAGAGGGTGGCATCTAGATGCCAGACAACCAAAATAAGAGTTACATAAGATTACATTATTTGCTCAATGAAAGTTTTGGGGCTTGTTAGTGAAAGGACAGGAAATATGTAGAATGAAGATGTGCTTATTTAAGTTAACCAGGTAGATATTACTGGTGTCTTGGCTTGGTCATAACCTAAAGGTTATTGTCAAGCAGATGAAGGGGCGTACCACACTTCTTTATAAGGACGAAAAAAAGCAAAAGAGGAAAATTTAGAGAATGTATGTTACTGGCATGATTTGAAGAGACTAATATGTCAGGAAGGCAGCAATAATATTTTTTCAGAGTATGATACATGAAAGGGAGTAAGGACAGAGTGTTAATGATGATGTATATAATAGTAAAGATAGCTATTCAAGTTTTTAGATTCTCCATTCTCACCTTTTCGATATGAATTGGTAGATTGAAATCTCGCATTGTAACATAGCTTGACAGAACAATGTGTTTCATAAGATAATAAAAAATTTTNCTCCATTCTCACCTTTTCGATATGAATTGGTAGATTGAAATCTCGCATTGTAACATATCTTGACAGAACAATGCGTTTCATAAGATAATCAAAAATTTCGCAATTAAAAACTGATTCATACAATTCCAGATATATTAGTTTACCACTGAAAAAGACATTATAATACTATGAATGTTATTTCCTCTGAGATAAGCTTTCTAATCAGCTTTGAGAGATGTAGGTCTGCTTATTTTTTGCCTCTTCTCTCATGTTTTTTCCCCTTTAATGCAATCGGAGATCTATAAATGTATTGTCCAGGAGCCAAATATATGTTCTTTTGCGATCTCTATATAGGATCATCGTTTCCTCTTCTTTTTCAGGTCATTGTTTCCTCCTTTTTTATGCATTATATCTGCTATTTGCACCTGGAATCTTTTTATTAGATGCAAGAGATGGGGAGTGCTGATCTGATGCGAGAGTAATTGATTCTGTTGCTAATGGAGAGTGTGCTATGCTAAAATGAAATGTTGGTACAAAGGATAACTATGGAACCAACAGGCCTTTGGTCTAATGGTATTCCTTGTTTTGGGAAGGCTTTGCCTTCTTGAGGTCAAAGGTTCAAGTCCCCCTCTCCCCTTCCTCCCCCCCCAAAAAAAAAGGATTAACTATGGCTGGCTAGGTTAAAAAGAGAACAACAAAGATCTAAAAGCTTAAAAACCTTTGACAAAGATTGTAAAGAAGTGAAAATGAAATATTTAATATTGGTTTAAATGCTTCTATGGCTATTCTTTGGCAACACTATACTTGCTATGATCATGAAATAGGTAAACAAGTAGGGCAAGCATAAACTCTCTAGTCTCTGCTCCTCATGAGATTATCACTTTTTCCCCTGAAACCAATTGCAATATTGGTAAAATTTTGGTACGTATAGACCTTGTATTGGTGGTCATAATAGAATTTGTACATCCTCTATGAGATGACGACTCTTCATATTTGTCACCTCTTTCAGGTATTAGCCATTGTTTTAACCAACTTGAGCTTCCTAACTTTGACCAACCTAAACTTCATACTCAAATGTCGCATTTGCATGGATGGATAGAAAAATTTTGAATTTAGTACTATTCCTGGCTCGATTCAGAAAACAGAAGATTTCGTTTCACGACTCGGATCTCAATTGAACAACTAAGAGATTTACCAAAAAAATAGTAATATTCTTAAGAGAAATTCTACAATCTACTGCATCTGTCATCAGTGTCTTCTGGGACTGTATCCCGCGGGGTTGTCCTGATATCTTTGTACGGGAATGGTTATTGCCATAGGGAGCCAGTGATAGGCTATAGCATATTATGGAGAATATAGCTTATGAAAGAGAAATATAATATTTTATTGTAAAATTTTCGTTTTTGTGGTGTGATAATGTCTTTGTAATAACATGTTTCAAGGATGCCCTTGAATAAAAGAATCTCTGTTTTTCAAGGTTCTGACTTGCAAATAGTTAATTCATACTTAAATGCGTTATGCTGCAATTTTCCAAGACCACCACAGATAAATCATTTAACTATTCTCCTAAAACAGGCAGATAAGAATGAACTTCGTGAAGAGAAACTCATAATGAAGGTTGACAAAGAAAGGTTGGAGCAGCAGTTGAAAGCTATGGCGGTTCCACCTGCTGGGTTTATGCCAGCCCACCCNCTGCAATTTTCCAAGACCACCACAGATAAATCATTTAACTATTCTCCTAAAACAGGCAGATAAGAATGAACTTCGTGAAGAGAAACTCATAATGAAGGCTGACAAAGAAAGGTTGGAGCAGCAGTTGAAAGCTATGGCGGTTCCACCTGCTGGGTTTATGCCAGCCCACCCGGCAGCTTATCAGAGTGGTGCAAACAAGATGCCAGTTTTTCCCAGCTATGGTTTCATTCCAATGTGGCAGTATCTACCTCCAACTGCCCGTGATACATCTCAAGATCATGAGCTCAGGCCACCTGCTGCTTAGTAATTTTTGGATGTGATTATTTGCACATTTTGAGATGCTTTATCATGCAATTTAGTAATGTATTGCATCTTTTAATTATAAATAAATCGATTTGCCTTCTTTTTTTTTATTTTTTTTATTTTTTTTGAGCGTTCAGTTTCTCTAGATTTTTAAATTCAAGTAGAGGCATATGTATGACTCTAATTGGCAAGACATTGGGTTAGATGCAATCTATGTGCTTCAATTGTTTTTCCCCTTTTAAGTTTTTTTCCATCTTTAGCATTCTAGTTGCATTTAATGAATATTCTAAATGTCAGGAACTTTTTAATTGTTGTGATTGCTTTTGGTATTCAGTTGTTAAAGACTAATTCAATTTTTCACAGAAATTGATGATGATAAAGCTATTTAAACTACTGCAAAATGATAGTAATGGAGTTGTGATAATTCTTGTTTAGAGTTAGTAGTCAGTGCTCATGTTAAAGGAGAAAGAATGATATGGGTCATTGCCCAGCAACAGGATTCATTTGATATCGATTATCTAGGTTTCATATGCACCACAAGTTAGATCACACACTTAGCATATGGAATGCCATTTAAGTTCCTTGGTGCACTTGAAAGCAGAACTTGATGCAGCCCCCGTCCCCAGGACATAGACACACACACAGAAAAAGGAGCAACCCAACTTGATGCAGCTTATCTACTATATCTTTGGATGCAGAAATCAAGGCCTTTGAAATTTGAATTCCGGGAAATGAAAATGTTCATGCTTGCTTTCATCTATGTCTGCTTCTTCATTATTTTCATCTGCCTATCTTCAGTTAAATTACGTTATCATGTGCGAGTCGAAGGAATTATATAACTTTTGAGTTTCTCCTTTCAAATCCTTTGCAGTTGAAGTGAATACTTTTATTTGAAGGTCTTCATGCTCTTCATTAGTCGTATAAGCTTGCTCTTCCGGCTTCACTTGTACATCTTTATCACGTTCTTTGCCCCATAATAGCAAGTACAGGCCAACAATGACAATAACTCCCCCTATTATGCTGAACAATCCGAAGATGTTAGAATATTTAATCTGCTGCATCTCTGTGTGTGTGTGTGTGTCCCTTGGGTTGGTTGTCATTGTAATATGCATCCAGAAGCATGCATAGGTGTGGAATCAAGGTGATAACAGGCATTATAATGCACTGCAACATGCCTGTAAGTTCAAAATCAATGATGTGCATCGTAATTTACCTGCCTACATAAAGCTTTTCGCCGAAGACAAAGTATGCTAGAACAGCCACTAATATTGTCGAAAGGGGATTAAACATTGTCACAAAAACTGGCCCTTTTTCTTCTGTGCACCATAATTGAATGAAGACTAGTAATCCAGAGATCACTACCCCCTGCAATTCAACAGTATTATGATTAATTTGAGGAAGCGTTTGATTTGAACTGCAGAAAATAAATAAATAATAGATCAATGATTCCCTACTCACTCCATATAGTGTAGACCAGAAGTCAATGTTGAAACCGATGGCCCAAGCAGCTGGCTTATGTTGTATGAATACTGTAAAGACAGCTGATTGTGCGGCTCCAACGAAGTTCATCCATGCAGTAAGTGACAGTTGTGCTGGATATCTTTTCAGTGTATATGCCTGTATTTTTAGGAAATTCATAAAATTTCTGACATGTCAACATTTATATCAATATTAAAAATTGTTTTGTTTCTGTAAGTTAAAAATTGGACCATCTGTTTTTGCATGTCGTCGTTATGCAGGGGCCTGTGTTAATATCTCTATATTGTTCCAGTTTTGTCGGATGTCCTTGAAGAGAACTAAAACCGTTTTTTATGATAAGTAAATTTTTTTATTCATTTCACTCAACAACCATGGCTTAGTCTTGTCAATTCACTTGATTTGAAGAAGAATGCACATAATTTCATGTTAATGTTTTGTAAACGATAACTGTACAATTTTAGAATGTATTCTCATTAGCTAATCTTGTGTTCTGATTCTGTTGATTTGTTCACCTCCATCTGTACTTTAATTTTCAATAAATATTTATCATATATTTACTTATTAATTTATAGAAAATTCAAATAGAACTCTTTCTCCTACTGTTTAGTACTAGTTCCAGAAGAACCCCACCAGAATGAAACTCATTCGTAGAGGAGATAAGAGTTAGTCTAAAAACCTGCATTATATACCACATGGACCATGTTATGCAGCTTATTACAGTGAGAATTGAACCCTTTAACCAGTTCTCGTGGATTCCAATGTTTCCTCTGAGATGGATTTGAGGATGCCATATGTTTTGCACAATGGGTCCCTTGTATAATGTCATGGTCATGACACCTGCCAAGGAAACCAAGGTTCCCAGAATTTTGGCTATTCCACGAAGGTTTCGCAGATCTAGAATCTCCAATCTGCATGAACTTGCTTTTTTCAGATAAAGAATGAAAATAATCATATGCATCTGTGTATGTGTAGATATACTTGGATATGTAAACCTCTCATGGATTACCTGAGTATAACTGCTAATACAAAAGTCAGGGAAGCTATTGTGTTAACCATTGATGCGAGGAAGGTTGGAGAGGTGAATCTTAAGCTTGCAAAGTACATGTTTGGGGCCAAACTCACCCTGTGATCAGTGAAAAACCCTTTATTAATCTGCAAAATATTACTTATTAGCTTAGAGAAATACGTGATCTTACCCAAGAAGAGAAAGAACAAAGATCTCCATGAATAGAGCCAGTGTCAACTTCGGCCTTATTTTTCTGCAGGAAACAAGATGATCATTGTCTGGTTGCATGACATGAATGAAAAACTTAATACTGATAAATCGGATGCTTCATAAATGATGTGGCGATTGCCAAGTAAGCAGGAATTTTTTGTTGGTAAAAAGTAAGCTAGAATTACTAACTGTTACTTTAGTGGATTGTAAATTCATAATTGATATGGATATTGCCCTTGGGAATATTTAAGAGGACCTGATGTTTTCTTTCTTTCTTTGTGAAAATAGGTGATATATATTTCATTAATTCAAAAGTAATACATACAAAGACAAGTTTTCGTTAAGTGCATGTGACTCAATCCTTTAGAGTTTTTCCAGAGCTGAAGTGTGTAACTAATCAAGATAGAGAATTCAAACAAACATATATTGACAATTTCTTTTTCACAAGGGATGCATACAGATATTTTGACTTACCGTTCTAGAAAATAGGCAAAAGGTAATATTGCTAAACCAGCTACGATATGTCGATAAGTTATGTAGACATGGGAATTCATCCCATGATTGAAGGAAGCCTCTGTGATGAAGTACAGAAAAGTATAACACATCTGAGCAACAGTCATAAAGATGTGTGGTTTGAACCTCCTGTACGTGCCTATAAGGGTACATGCCTTGGTTGCCATTAGTACTTCGCTCTTTACTCCACCTTTGAAAAACTGAGTAGTGAGTAGTTATAAAATGCATCAGTAATATAGAGGTTGGTGGAAGAGTTGGGTTTGGATTCTTACTGCATGTTGTTGGTATCATGTTCTTGTTAAATTCCTTTGATAGCCTGACAGTCACCTAACTAAATGACAGAATAAAAATGAACAATGGAAAAAAAAGTATTCTGATACACTTTTTGTTATAGGATCTCTTAAATCTGATTTTGCTTAAAATCCTGATTGATCAGATGTTTAGTAAGACAGAATAAGAAAGAACTGTCACATCTAGAAGTTGAATTACCAACCTTTCAGTGTAGCTAGGGTAGAAAAACTCGATAGTTTCTATGTCAAGGTCTCAAGTTCAATTAACTTCGATGTGTGTGATTGACAAGTTTGCATCCAGTTTGTATTGTAGTCATGGGTGGCATGTTAGTTTAGACTGCTGTTGTTGCAAAGAAAAAAAGGAATTGTAGTAGAAGCATCTCTTTCTTGCTGGATTTCAAGTTATTAGCATCTTTTTTTTCAGTTTAAAAAGGTAGATCTGATTCTTCTATTACTGTATCAAGCTAAGTTGACAGCATATAATTGAGGTTTTTTTACCTTATCAAGGATGAATGACCTATCTTTTCATATTATTCTTGATCTGCATGACATTAGCAAATCCACAAGGCATCCTTCATCTATGCACGTGTCCATACCCTAGAAAATCATTAATTCACAAGAAATTTCTGCTGCAAGGCACATGAAATTTTCACTGTTGCAGGAATCGCACAAGACATCGGATTAGCATACCCACTATAGTTAGGCAATCATTCAGCCGAATGAGCGTGCTTCTTTTTTCTTTTTTTTTTCNGTTGTGCTGGATATCTTTTCAGTGTATATGCCTGTATTTTTAGGAAATTCATAAAATTTCTGACATGTCAACATTTATATCAATATTAAAAATTGTTTTGTTTCTGTAAGTTAAAAATTGGACCATCTGTTTTTGCATGTCGTCGTTATGCAGGGGCCTGTGTTAATATCTCTATATTGTTCCAGTTTTGTCGGATGTCCTTGAAGAGAACTAAAACCGTTTTTTATGATAAGTAAATTTTTTTATTCATTTCACTCAACAACCATGGCTTAGTCTTGTCAATTCACTTGATTTGAAGAAGAATGCACATAATTTCATGTTAATGTTTTGTAAACGATAACTGTACAATTTTAGAATGTATTCTCATTAGCTAATCTTGTGTTCTGATTCTGTTGATTTGTTCACCTCCATCTGTACTTTAATTTTCAATAAATATTTATCATATATTTACTTATTAATTTATAGAAAATTCAAATAGAACTCTTTCTCCTACTGTTTAGTACTAGTTCCAGAAGAACCCCACCAGAATGAAACTCATTCGTAGAGGAGATAAGAGTTAGTCTAAAAACCTGCATTATATACCACATGGACCATGTTATGCAGCTTATTACAGTGAGAATTGAACCCTTTAACCAGTTCTCGTGGATTCCAATGTTTCCTCTGAGATGGATTTGAGGATGCCATATGTTTTGCACAATGGGTCCCTTGTATAATGTCATGGTCATGACACCTGCCAAGGAAACCAAGGTTCCCAGAATTTTGGCTATTCCACGAAGGTTTCGCAGATCTAGAATCTCCAATCTGCATGAACTTGCTTTTTTCAGATAAAGAATGAAAATAATCATATGCATCTGTGTATGTGTAGATATACTTGGATATGTAAACCTCTCATGGATTACCTGAGTATAACTGCTAATACAAAAGTCAGGGAAGCTATTGTGTTAACCATTGATGCGAGGAAGGTTGGAGAGGTGAATCTTAAGCTTGCAAAGTACATGTTTGGGGCCAAACTCACCCTGTGATCAGTGAAAAACCCTTTATTAATCTGCAAAATATTACTTATTAGCTTAGAGAAATACGTGATCTTACCCAAGAAGAGAAAGAACAAAGATCTCCATGAATAGAGCCAGTGTCAACTTCGGCCTTATTTTTCTGCAGGAAACAAGATGATCATTGTCTGGTTGCATGACATGAATGAAAAACTTAATACTGATAAATCGGATGCTTCATAAATGATGTGGCGATTGCCAAGTAAGCAGGAATTTTTTGTTGGTAAAAAGTAAGCTAGAATTACTAACTGTTACTTTAGTGGATTGTAAATTCATAATTGATATGGATATTGCCCTTGGGAATATTTAAGAGGACCTGATGTTTTCTTTCTTTCTTTGTGAAAATAGGTGATATATATTTCATTAATTCAAAAGTAATACATACAAAGACAAGTTTTCGTTAAGTGCATGTGACTCAATCCTTTAGAGTTTTTCCAGAGCTGAAGTGTGTAACTAATCAAGATAGAGAATTCAAACAAACATATATTGACAATTTCTTTTTCACAAGGGATGCATACAGATATTTTGACTTACCGTTCTAGAAAATAGGCAAAAGGTAATATTGCTAAACCAGCTACGATATGTCGATAAGTTATGTAGACATGGGAATTCATCCCATGATTGAAGGAAGCCTCTGTGATGAAGTACAGAAAAGTATAACACATCTGAGCAACAGTCATAAAGATGTGTGGTTTGAACCTCCTGTACGTGCCTATAAGGGTACATGCCTTGGTTGCCATTAGTACTTCGCTCTTTACTCCACCTTTGAAAAACTGAGTAGTGAGTAGTTATAAAATGCATCAGTAATATAGAGGTTGGTGGAAGAGTTGGGTTTGGATTCTTACTGCATGTTGTTGGTATCATGTTCTTGTTAAATTCCTTTGATAGCCTGACAGTCACCTAACTAAATGACAGAATAAAAATGAACAATGGAAAAAAAAGTATTCTGATACACTTTTTGTTATAGGATCTCTTAAATCTGATTTTGCTTAAAATCCTGATTGATCAGATGTTTAGTAAGACAGAATAAGAAAGAACTGTCACATCTAGAAGTTGAATTACCAACCTTTCAGTGTAGCTAGGGTAGAAAAACTCGATAGTTTCTATGTCAAGGTCTCAAGTTCAATTAACTTCGATGTGTGTGATTGACAAGTTTGCATCCAGTTTGTATTGTAGTCATGGGTGGCATGTTAGTTTAGACTGCTGTTGTTGCAAAGAAAAAAAGGAATTGTAGTAGAAGCATCTCTTTCTTGCTGGATTTCAAGTTATTAGCATCTTTTTTTTCAGTTTAAAAAGGTAGATCTGATTCTTCTATTACTGTATCAAGCTAAGTTGACAGCATATAATTGAGGTTTTTTTACCTTATCAAGGATGAATGACCTATCTTTTCATATTATTCTTGATCTGCATGACATTAGCAAATCCACAAGGCATCCTTCATCTATGCACGTGTCCATACCCTAGAAAATCATTAATTCACAAGAAATTTCTGCTGCAAGGCACATGAAATTTTCACTGTTGCAGGAATCGCACAAGACATCGGATTAGCATACCCACTATAGTTAGGCAATCATTCAGCCGAATGAGCGTGCTTCTTTTTTCTTTTTTTTTTCCCCCTGACCTATAATCATCTGAACCACGTAAACTTGGCAAGCGTGCAATCGTGCAAACTATACACATTAGCTTTAGAAGGGCACCTCTTTCTAGACTCTTAACTTAGGAACTCGAGATATTAATTAACTAATGAAGCCTTGAGATATCGTAACAATTTGAGGCTCTCTTGTTTAGGGTTCTGCTTTTTAATTTTTTTAACTGACATGCAATAATGCCTACAATTTGTTGAATAGCCTACAATCCACTGAAGTTGTAATGTTGTACTGTTCAACAGATGGAATTGGGCTTGTGTCATTATTTTTGAGCTGATTAAGTTTTAAATTGTTTTAACTTGCTTCAGAGCAAACTGAAACAAAATCCCATCAAATCTCCCAAGACATGCCACCATACCACAAAGTTTATAGTGTGTAATGTTTCTCCTTGAATCACCCATTAAAGTTTGCATAGGAGGAAAATTCTGTTCTTGCATAGGATTTGTGTGAATTTACTTGAAAGTGACAATCATGAAACTAGTAAGATTTCCATGGAGAATTTGAAAACTGTCATTTAAGATGTTTCGTAATGTTGTGCAGGATTACTATATGCTATTCTAGTTCTGGTTGTACCCCTGAATGTTTTGTGCTGTTTTTTTTTTTTTGATTCCAGAGATATGCCAATTTGTATACACTTGAACCCATTTGTTACTGCTTTTAAATCTTTTTCAATTCAGGAATCATTCACTTCTTTAGATACATTTGAATGGAAGTGTAGCACCAGAGAATCAAAGTGCTTTAACAGAATCAATTTGCAGGAACTTTATAAAAAGGTGGAAGTTCTACATTCAAGCCTCATCTTAAGGTAAACCCCTTAAGGAGTTTTCCTGTGCATAGGGGGCGACGAAGCTGCACGTGACCGCGAGGACCCCAAGGATTTATCCAGGTAATTGTCTGGTGACGAAAATGCATGTGTTCTTGCGAGGATTAGTCATAGAAAGTAATAATATTATTGAATATCTAGTGTCGTATAAGTGGAGATTCTTTCAATGAGCATCCTTTATTTCATAGCAATTGGGGGTAATAGAATCTCTTTGCATAGGGAGGGCCAACCGATTCAACTTTCAGACATCAAAATAGGGTTTAGGCGTGGATGAAACTCATAAGAGATTTCCGTTCTTGGAAATCTGCACTTTTCAGTGGGCTTTAAGAAATTGAGTTTACTTATGTGGTCATTGTTTGGGAACTATGTGCAGGTGGTGATCAATGTGGAGAAATTGCATAATATAATTTTAGACTAGAAGGTTCGGAGAATACAATCAAATTAAAGTGTTAATAATAAACCTCATGGCCATGCTGAACAGAATTTCCCAACCATGCTTGCTGCTTTGGCCTTGGATGAAGCGTATAAGGAGAGTGTATTGACTGGGGAATCCCAGACACAGAGATTTGGTGCTGCCCCTATGGTGCCAGCACAGGAGCAACAAGATAGCAACTTTCACAGCCCACTTGTTTTGGTTGGCAACTAGGTTGTGTGCTTTCAACACACAAAACACAAAATATGGGTGTCAAATAGTGTCATATTCGAATCGTGTCATTTGGGTTCACCTCAACAATTGTGTTAAAAAATTGTTTAACTCTAAAATAGTTAATAAAAAAGTAGATAAAAGGAATACAAAATTCTCATTTTCTTCTTACAATATCAACCAAATGATTTACTTGTCTTAACAGTAATTGTACTTTTTTAGTATGTGTCACTACATTGTATCTATTCACAGTTTTGTTATGTTGGTAATAACATCTCATATTAATCTTTAGGGATGGTTCAATTGTTGAGTTTGACTTTTTATAATTCCAAGATTTCGGGTTCAATCATTTCTTACATTTCATAAAGGATAGTCACCTTTGCTCTTCAGTAACATGCTCTATTTCGGTTTAGGTCACGGTAGTTATTGTTGAGTTTAAAATAATAGTTGGTGTAAACTTAGACACTGTATAACCGAAAAAAAAAAAAAAATTCACACGTCGGAATAACTTTTTTACCTGTTAATGTCAGATGATTTTTTTTGCAATTTGCTGAAGTGACTTACCTGTTAATGTCAGAAGATTTTCTTTGCAATTTGCTGAAGTAACGAAATCATTCCTTTGCCTGCCGCTCACTCACCAAAAACTCTCATATTCCCACTCAATACACCACTATCTTCGAAACTAGGGAATATTATGGCAGCCCAATACCCAAAGATTCCTTGTTTCAAAATATGCAAGAATATGGAATCCATCCATGGACAATGGCATACGTATTGCCATTGCCATACACTATTTTCTTTTCCATAGGCAGTTGAGGGTAATTTTTCGGGTCCTATGAAATTGCCATCAAGTTAAATGAGTTTGAATTTAGTCTTAACTCGTCAGTGCTATTAATGGACTGACCAGCCAACCCCGTCAAATAAATAAATTGTCAAGAATATTTGTTACGTAATTATAAATCAATCATCAATTAAAGTGGTTACAATAGAGTTAATAATTGAGTCAAGTTATATGAGTTCGGCTCGAATAAGACTCGACTAATATTCTGAACGAACTGAACTTAAATAATTTAGCTTGACTCGTTTGTATGTAACATAGTCGAGCTTGGTTCATTTTAGGTTTGATTCAGACTTGACTCATTTTCTAAATAAGTTAAATTTGAACAATTTTTTAAGTTCATTTAAAAAAATGAGTTCGAGAGAATTGACTCGAAGTTCACTGCTCGATTATCGGCCCTAGTTAGAGTTTAATAATATAATGGGCTTTTAAGCCACGGGCCAGGTGGTGAGACATTGACTTGATCGGATCGAACGAGTCTTCTTATAAATGAATCGGATCGGACTAGCCTTTCCAAAAATTTTAGGATCCATGTCAGTCATAATACACTTTTTGGACCCATGGGCAGTCATAATACACTTTTATTAGTTACAAAATTAAGGCTTTAAAGTTGGAAAATTTAGAGGCCGGTCCCATTATATGGACTTATTTGGAGATAAGTCTATTAAAAAAATTTATTTGGTTTTAAGTCTATTTTTTGTCAATTTTACTATTGTAACTCTTCCCTGTAAGAATGTTATAAACGACGTTTATAAACACAATAACCAGTCATATGCATCTCCTTCATAATTGCCTTCAAATCCCATTACAATCTTCCAAGTCACAATGTTTCTTTATCTGAAAAACAATTGACATTTATCAAAAATTGTTCATATTCAAATTTCAAACTCATTATATTACATAAAATACAATTTTAATTTACTATTCTAGTTTATTTTGAACTTCACAGACAAAATATTAATATTTAAAAAATAACAATAATAACATACTCAATAAAGACAATAACATGTTCACAAAAAATAGTAACATGGTAAAAAAGTAATAACTTAATTCTGTCAAAGTGGATATTAACCTTATAACCAAGATTCAAGAACTCAGTACTAAATTAAAGTATTATAGATTTCGAATTAAAATTTGTTATGCAAGACAATTGAGTATTCTTTAGTGGGTCCGACTACAGTACCGAAAACAGTTTTTCGGTATGGTACCGAAAAAGGCATTGAACGGTTCACAACTGATGAAAAACTTCCACCGTTGATCAAGCCTGTTACTTTTTACCGGCTACCCACTTACCCTTAAAAAATGGTATTTTCATTAAAAAAAAAAGAAGATAATCTTTTCATTAAAAAAAAAAAAAAAAACCGCTCAACAGGAAGAAGAAGGAGAAAGATCAATGGAGTAAGAGAATTGTTTTTATCCTATGAGATTATAAAATCATCGTCATTTATTAAAACTAAGATTGAGATTATAATAAATTTATTTTAAAAAAAAAAAATTCAGACGACGAAGAAGAAGGAGAAAGAAGATGAAGTTGCAGAATTGTCCAATAAATTTAGCTTGTCCAGCGATAAAGATTTTAGCTTGTCCAATAAATTTCACTTATATCCCAAAATTATCACATTTTTTTAATTTATTCATCATATTTTTCATATTATACCTTGAACTATGTAATTAGTTTCATTAGCCCAATTTTTTTTTACCTATTTTAATTTAACACCAAAGGTGTAACAAATATGATATGTCTGATATAATTTATTTAGCGTGAAAAATATGGAGTTGCAGAATTATTTTTATCCCTATGAGATTATAAAATCATCATCATCATTTATTAAAACTAAGATTGAGATTACAGTAAATTCATAAAAAAAAAACTCACACGACGAAAAAGAAGGATAAAGAAGAAGATGGAGTTATAAAATTGTTTTTATCCCTATGAATCCTTTATGAAATTTTAAATCATCATCATTTATTAGTTTAAAACTAAGGTTGAAATTATAGTAACCTTATATTTAAAAATAAATAAATACACATTTTTTATTAACATTCACTTTTTTGGTAAAGATTATATTTTTTTTGTTAAGAGTACCACTTTTTTTGTTATATTAGAACTTTTTTGGTTAAAATTACCACTTTTTTGGTTAACAATACCATTTTTTTGGTTAAGAGTACCATTTTTTTTGTTAACATTATAACTTTTTTTAATTAATAGTACCACTTTTTTTGTTAATATTACCACTGATTATGAGTACCATTTTTTTGGTTAATAGTATCACTGTTTTGGATAATATTACCATTTTTTTGGTAAGCATTACCACTATTTTAGTAAGCATTAGCACTATTTTGGTTAAGAGTACCACTTTTTAGTTAAGAATACAACTTTTTTTGTGAACATTACCGCTGTTTTGGTTAAGAGTACTATTTTTTTTGTTAATATTACATCTTTCTTGATTAACATTATAACTTTTTTTAGTTAATAATACCACTTTTTTTTGTTAATATTACCACTATTTTGATTATGAGTACCATTTTTTTGGTTAATATTACAATTTTTTTCTTTAACAATACCACTGTTTGGTTAAAAGTATCACTTTTTTTATTAACATTACCACTATTTTAGTTAAGAGTACCACTGTTTTGGATAATATTGTCACTGTTTTTGTTAAGATTACTACTCTTTTCGTTAACAGTATCACTGTTTTCGTTAATAGTACCACTGTTTTGGATAATATTACTATTTTTTTGGTTAAACTTACCACTGTTTTGGTTAAAAGTACTATGTTTTGGATAATATAACCATTTTTTTGGTTAAGAGTATCACTTTTTAAGTAAGCATTATCACTATTTTGGTTAAGAGTATCACTGTTTTGGTTAATAGTCCCACTTTTTTGGTTAATATTACCACTGTTTTTATTATGAGTACCACTTTTTTGGTTAACATTATCATTATGTTAGTTAAGAATATCACTGTTTTGGATAATATTGTCACTGTTTTTGTTAAAATTACCTCTCTTTTGGTTAACAGTACCACTGTTTTCGTTAAGAGTATCATTTGTTTGGTGAACATTACCACTGTTTTGGTTAAGAGTACCATTTTTTTGGTTAAGATTACAACTTTTTTGGTTAACATTATAACTTTTTTTAGTTAATAGTACCACTTGTATGGTTAATATTAACACTATTTTAATTATGAGTACCATTTTTTTGGTTAATATTACTATTTTTTTGGTTAACAATACCACTATTTTGGTTAAGAGTACCATATTTTGGATAATATTACAATTTTTTTAATTAAGAGTACTACTTTTTAGGTAAACATTACCACTATTTTGGTTAAGAGTACCACTATTTTGGTTAATAGTACAATTTTTTTGGTTAATATTACCACTGTTTTTATTATGAGTACTATTTTTTTTGTTAACATTACCACTATTTTGGTTAAGAGTATCACTGTTTGGATAATATTGCCACTGTTTTTATTAAGATTATCCATTCTTTTGGTTAACAGTACCACTATTTTCGTTAAGAGTACCACTTGTTTAGTGAACATTACCACTGTTTTGGTTAAGACTAACACTTTTTTGGTTAAGATTACAATTTTTTTTAGTTAATAGTACCACTTTTTTTTATTAATATTACCACTATTTTGATTATGCGTACCATTTTTTTGGTTAATATTACAATTTTTTTAGTTAACAATACCACTATTTTGGTTAAAAGTACCACTTTTTTTTTGTTAACATTACCATGTTTTGGATAATATTATTACTTTTGGTTAATGTTACTACTGCTTTAGTTAAAAGTACCACTGTTTTGGATAATATTATCATTTTTTTGGTTAATCTTACCATTGTTTTGGTTAAGCGTACTACTGTTTTGGTTACATTAACACAATTTTGGTTAATTTGGTTAAGAGTGCCACTGTTTAGATAATATTACCATTGTTTGGTTAAGATTAACTGCCACTGTTTTGGTTAAAATTAATACTTTTTAGTTAAAGTACCACTTTTTTGAATAATATTGCTACTGTTGGTTGACATTATCATTTTTTAGGCTAGAACCACTTTTTGGTTAACATTATATTTTTTGGTTAACATTACGAATCTTTTAGTTAAGATTACATTTTTTTTGTTAAGATATCACTTTCTTCGTTAAATTACAATTGTAA